TGGCGACTTTTCGATTGTGGGCAATCTACAGAACTCTCAACGGGCGCGCGCGCGCTCGCGCCGCGGCGCGCGCAAGGGCATGTCTGTGTTGTGCGTAGTAGAAACCGTACCCCGAAACCAACGCTAACTTCAAAACCCAATCGGCCACCGTTAAGAGTTTACTTCAGTTTCCAGCCCAACATGGGGACTTTCGATTGTGAGCAATAGGTAATGTTTCGATTGTGGGTAATCTACAAAACTCTATATGGGTGCGCGCGCGCAACCCACTAGGTGGGTAAAGGGAACATGGCCACGGCGGCCTCCGGAAGCCCGTGGAAGCAAATGGAAACGGGCACGCTGACGCCCAGCCACCCTGCTTTCGAACAAAGACGGGGGAAAAGGGAAAACCCCCCCCTCCCCCGCCTTAACCTATCACGTGGGCTAAGACGCCTTAACCGACTACGTGGAAAAGGCGATCGAACAAACCACCACTCGTGCCTTAAACGGCGGACGGTGGTGGCGAGGGCAAGCTGACGCCCGCCCGCACCGCACTCCCGCTAATTACGCGGGACGCCGGCCAGGATTTGGGAGGGTCACCACCCAAATAATGATACCCATGTGCATTGGCAGTGCAGGGGCGACTCCCCGAGCCAAGCGGTGCCGCGGGAAAGCGCCTCCTGGCTGCCTGCGCCGATACTGGCCCCAGCGTCTGAGCTACACATTACTAGGAAGCAACTACATCTTCCTTTCAGTGAATCCACGGCAACTGCAGATTTCCGAATAATCGAAAAGCTTCGCCCTCCTAATATTCGAACCAATATTCAGACAAAAATGCAATCAAACCGTAAACATAACAATACTCTTACATGAAAAGCCGTACTGCGATCCGATACATGAGCAAATCGACCGTTCAAACGGGCAGAACGAATCATTTCACTTTTGAATGAAAGGAATATTGCGGCGGAAATGCCTTTACGTACTCATGCAAGTCTTTACGACTTATCAAGATGACGTTTTAGCTCATCAACAACGTTCGGACACTGCAAGCGGATGCGTGAATGTCAAAATCCGCTACTCATAGATATAAGCCGTGCGTTTGCACGTGTACGTACACTCATAAAACACACGCGTGATGTTGCACATCAAACATATAATGTTGGATACGCGTATGTGTATGCAACTGTATATTTCATGCTGGTGTGTATCTATACATGTACATATGCATAGATTTACCTATTACACATGCGAGTATAAATGCATACTTGTCCCTGATATTTGTGTTCCTTCCCCATCCTAGGCTTGTAGAGCAATGCGCGACTGAAAACAACACATATGAAACTTATTGTCTTTACATGCTACCGCGTGCGGCTTTCTATACACTTCTGCATGTTAGAGGCGTGCGTGTGCGTGTAAGTAGAAAGAGAGAATGGATTTGGCTCTCAACGCCATCGCACGATGTCGATTCTGAGAGATGATCACGAGTCTCATTCATGATAACATGCGACAGGAACATAAACAGGAGGGAGGAGGTCCGCCACCAACCGAAACTGGTGTGTGTGTGGATTACCGAAACCAACGCGGGTGATACTGACACTGGTGTGGGTGGATATTGAAATTCGTTGGATGAAATGTGGGTGGATAACGAAACCGGTATGGGTGGATACCGAAACTAGTGTCAATGGATACCGAAACCGTTGTTTGCAATACCGAATCCGTTGCACTTCAACCGTGAGGGGTAGATGTACCGACACAAGCGAAAGGGCAGGAAAGAACGTAAAAGAAAGAATAATAACAATGAATAATAACAGAATTGACATATACTCACTGCGCATGTGCCTGGATGTGTTCCGATAAACTGCGCACTGAAAATACACATTGTCAGCGCGTGCGAATCCTATCTTTCGGCGCCCCATTATCTTGGTAGAAAGCTTGCTTTACCGAAAACATATGCCAATATGCAGCATCTGTCTCGTACATCTTGGTTTGTCCACCAACCAAGGCTGCAAGAGATGATTTCGCCCCGGCCTTGTCGAAGACGCTTGCATTACTGTCCCGTGAAATGAATGTGGGTTTCTCAGAACACGTCTCAAACACATCGACAATAGAAAACATCCAGCTGGTATTTGTCCTCTGCCAATAGCAAAAACCAATGCGCAGAGCACAACGGTTTTCTCAGAACGACGTAGTAGATTTCATCATTTCGCCTCCATTCAACAAATGCGTGCGACCAACATTTGCTGAGCGTCTTGAAGGTTTTGCTTGCTTCCCCTTGTGCCTGAGGTTTACGACCAAAGTCTGCTGAGCTGCTCGAAGTAGCTTCCCCAAGGGCTACAAAAGGCGCGTGAGGGGTGTACCGAAGTGGGCCTACGGGGGCAGGAATTATGTGAGGTGCATGGCGAAAGGAGCGCAACAGAAGTAGGAGACACGGCAAGGATGGGAGGAGGGAAGAGGAGGATGAGGAGGAAAGGGGGGAGGAAGAAGCAGTGAGAGAGGGAGACGCGCGGCGCTGCGGATTCAAAGCGACGGTCCAGCATTCGCAACACTGATCGTTATTCTTAGGATGACCGTGCACTGTTTCAGAAACGAGTGCCCCGAGTCTGAAAACGGATGCGCCCTGTTTACCAAGCGACCCACTTGTTTGTCACAAACCTAACTGCTTCTGAAACGGTCGACATGTGTCTGAAACGGCTGCTGTCGTCTTTCTCAGCCAGCTCCAGAAGGTGACCACCGTAGTTATTGGTGCCAGATCGCAACTCCTGTTACCAAATATTGTATCTGGATTCGCTACATGTCGCACTTTCCGACACGGAGCGTTCACGTCGAAATGGTCTGGGGCATGCTCTGGCACTGGGATGCCGACTACTTGTTGGGGGAGCCTGACGCTGGAGGAAACGTGCTGTCGCAAACGCTGGCGAGAGAACGGACGCGCGGATTTCCGGTCTCCTCCTGCTCCTCCCCTTTCTCGCTCTCGTCCTACTTCTGCGTTTCATGTGTTTGCCCTGCTTGGCACGCGCATTGTTTCACCTTCTCTCACGTCTCCAGGCTTGCAGGAGCCCCTGGAGCTGCCAATGCCACTGGTCCGTCCACTGCTGCCTGAACACAAAACAAAGGTGTGGGTCCAATTCTGTGATCTGCGCAGCGTTGTGCTAACTGTTTTTGTAACGTTCACTGGAACTGTTTGTCATGTTCAACAGGCACAGGGATACGATGCAGACGAGCTGCTATCGTAAGGACCGCTACATCGGGAACAACCCCCTTTTCCGCTCCCAAAGCGCATGGGTCCATGATGAGCCTTGAGGAAAAAACCATGCAGGAAACTAAACAACAACGAGGCCCTCCCGACACCGAACTGCTCATTATTTCAACGTCTCACAACCAAACGAACTTATACCGTTAGCGCTGGAATCGAAGATCAACAACATCCTCTAGAAGTCTGGTTTTCGTCGGTTAGGGGAGCAATATATCGAGTCGGTGAGTTTCTCAGGAAACTCGGCTTTCGTGACTAAATAGCCTTTCATCTGCCAGTCAAGCCGCAATACTTAAGCTTGCCTGCGCAAACCAAAACATGTTGTTGGCCACCCGCCAGCTCCCCCCCGTACACGACGCCGTCCATGGCGGATACGCGCGAACAATTCATTGGATAATTGCACGCTTGCCAATTGTTTGCCTGCACGCTGGCTGGTTGGTTCCAATTATTTCAACCCGCCGCGCGTAAACCAAGCCTGGAGCAACATGATGGCAACCGCGTCTGCAGATCGAATCAACTTAACTGACAATACACATGAAGGAAGCAGTGAACCCTTCCAGTCTTGACAAAGACAAGCTTCAACTATGAGCTGTCCAAGGGCGAGTTGAATCCAGAGCCAATTCTACCGACTACGATGTGCACGCACGTACCCTCGCCACTCCTAGAATCCCCCCGAGATCGGCCTGTGCGCCATCTGCGGAGTCTTCCTTCGAGTGGGCTCCTGTAGCGAGCAGGTCGGGAAGGCAGACCGATGCACCCTCCTGCTCGGGGATCTACTGACCCGGGTCAATGCAGACCCAGGCCAATCAGGCCTTGCAGGATCCTGTAGGATCCCGCGCCCAAGCCCAGGTCAGTGCGACCCTGGCCCTGCAGGATCCTGCAAGATTTAGGTCGGGCCTGTCCCCCTACAGGCGGATTTTTGACGACAAATTCGCCGGCACAACGGGCCAAAGGCGTGCTAAGATCTCTGGTAACTGGTTAAAAATATTCTAATTCGCGCGCGCGGGGCCGCCCCTGGGGGTCCCTGGACGAAAAGTACCCCGGGAGACCCCCGGGACACCCCCGGGACACTCGGATCAGAGATGCCAGACCGGGCAATTTTTGACACCCCTCGCGAGGATCGTGGCCTCCGAGGGGAGGGGCGCAATCGACTACCCCCCCTCCTGACCCAAGAGGTCCCCAAGAGCCCCCCAAGAGGCTGCAGGGCCTCCCAAGACGCCGACAAGGAAGAACCCTAAGAGACTCCCAAGAGGTCCCCAAGAGGCCCCCAAGAGGCCCTAAAGAGGGCTCCAGGGCCGGCGGAATGAGCGAAGCGATTCAATAAAACATAGTCCAACAAAATAACCCAAGACATAAGCAACAAATCATCAAAAAATCGCTCCCTGACTTATTTTAAATTTTTTCGAATCTTTCTACTGTAGAGAAATAAGCCCGACTTGACTCTGGCTGACCCCCGTTTGCATTGACCTCGTCTCTGGAGCTCCTCCCCCTCCTCCCTCCTCCCCCTCCCCCCCCCTCCCTCCTCCCCTCCCCTCCCCCCTCCCCCCTCCCCCTCCCCTTCCTCCTCCCCTCCCCCTCCTCCTCTCCTCCTCCTCCTCCTCCTCCTCCTCCTCCTCCTCCTCCTCCTCCTCCGCCTCCTCCTCGGGCCCTGCAGGATCCTGCAGGATCCAGCGCTCTGGCCGACCCCCGCGTGCATGGACCCCCCGTTTGCATGGGAGCCCCCGGCCTGCGCCCGTCCAGCGCCGGGGCGCCGCGCCGAGGAGAGTCCCCGGGGTCACGTGCTGCTGCCGCTGCCCGAGCTGCTCTCGGCGCGCGCCCGGTGGCTTCTCCTGGCAGGGGGCAGGGGCCCACGGCAGGCGGGCCACGCGCACGCGTCGAGGGGTGGGCCTGTTTTCCACCACCACCACCACCACCACCACCACCACCACCACCACCACCACCACCACCACCACCACCACCACCACCACCAGAGTTTGATGGGGGGGAGGAGGAGGAGGAGGAGGAGGAGGAGGAGGAGGAGGAGGAGGAGGAGGAGGAGGAGGAGGAGGAGGAGGAGGACCCCTCCCCCTCAAACTTATGGTGGTGGAAAACAGGCCCATTATCGATGGTTCTGGCCCAGGCGCTCGCAGAAGTCCGTCCCGCCTGGGGCCTCGCGGGGGCCTCTCCTGGAGCCTCCTGGGGCATTTCCAGAAGCGCTCCTCCTGGGCCTCTCTGGTGACTCCTGAGGCCCTGGGCCGTTCTGGAACTCCTCAATCCGCGCGCTGCTTAGTGGCACTCTGCAACATGCATGTCGAAGGTGCTGGCCTAGATTGCATGCTGCTCAAAACCCCGCACAAACTCACACGCAATTATGGTGGCCCATGGGTGGGGTTCATGGCCTGATGAATTTCATGCACTCAACGTAACACTGGAGATCCTGCAATGTATGAACGAGCAGCGGTGGACCGGATGTTGCACAGAAGGTGTCTTGAACAAAGAACAAAGGACGAGACTGCTGCTGAATGCCATGCGCCCGGACGGGGGACACGCATCTGAAGAGAAGACGTCAGGGATGGGTTGCCACTGACAGGGCGGTCCCCCTGCACGACTGAACGTGTGCGCCGCGAGTTGGCGGCCGTGCAGAGGGGGTGCGCGAGGGGGGTGACCCGGTAAGAAAGCAGGGGGCCCGTCAGAAGCCCTGCTGGCTTCCGAGGTGGTCTCTTGGAAGCCTCCGGGGCCTTCTACAGAAGGCCCCCCCCGCCTTGTGAGAAGGCCAGCCCCCTCGCGGCACCCCCCCTGCGTGGCGTCTTCCCTCCTCCGTCCTCCCTCCCTCCCCCGTCTTCCCTCCTCTCCGTCCCTCCTCCTTAGAAGTCACGCATCCTCGTCGCACCACCAGACATGCCTGTAGGGCAGCCTGGATGTGTCGCTTGAGGCTTCCTCCGAACATTTGATTCTGAAACATGGCATTCCCAACAACTGGTCGCACGGATGGAAGGCGGGTCTTTTCCAAAATGTGCTCCCGCTTTCCCGCCGCGCGAACAAGCCCTCAAAATATTCAATGACTACACGAATTCATTGCACCGATGGATTCAACGATTCAGGAAACGTAATCGCATCGCCTGGAACCAATCGCGGCGAATCGCTGGCGAATCACACCAAAAGCCTGATCGCTAGCGGGTCAAATCGAATCGCGAACCGGAGGGACCGCCGGCAGAGGCTTCTGAAACTCTCCCTGGAAACTCTACCACGTCCTTCCGTCCTCCATTTTCACCTCCTCCCTTCCTGGCCGAAGGAGAGGGCCTCTCCTCGGGGGGTCCTATCTCCCATTAGGAGGGCTTGGCCCTCCTCCCCCATCTAGCGGGGGTAGGCCCAAATTCCCCCAGGGAGGGTCCAACCTCCCCGAGGTGGGGGTGTTCGACCCCTCCCCCGCCGTAAAGGGCTTTGCAAGCAGTGACGAAGCGTCCTGGTCTGTTCTCAGAGCATTTCTGGCTGAGACCATCTTGTTGTAACACATCGGCGGTATTGCTCCAAAAACATTGCTTCTGTTGCGGCAGTATTCTCGTATTCTAGCAGCATGTCGTGGTATGCCGATGGGAAGGCGTGGAATACTTGCCCGTACAGGGGGAGAGGAGGTCCACGCCCCGTCCCCACACTCTAAACTACGCTTGGTGTCGCATAGATAGTGTGCAACACCGATCTCCGAAAAGCACGCTATGCCCTCCAAACAAAGTTTCCTCCGCGCTCGCTATCCCTGTGAGGCGATCCCTCGGCGAGGGCCCCTTCTGTGCACGCCATCCCCCTGTCAGGGCTGCCTCAGTGCACGCTGTCCCCAAGGTGGAGGACAGCGTTTACTCATCTGGCAGGCGGCGCCACGTCGCAAGCCAGCTCTGCCACCCCCGCCGTCAAGGGGGAGAGGAGGCCCAGACCCCGTCCCCCCGAAAAATAAAAGGCGGGGGGGGGGTCCTCCTCCTCCTTCTCCTCCTCCTCCTCCTCCTCCTGCCTCCAAGGGAGACCTCGCCCCCCCTCGAGAGAGAGAGAGAGAGAGAGCGGACCCCCCCCCCTCCCCCGGAAGCGCGCGCCCTCGGCACGCGGGGCCGCGGGCCGCGGGCGCGCGCCCGCTCTGCGGGCCGCGCGCCATGCGGGCCCCGAGGGTGGGCGCCGGGCCGGGTCGTCCCCAGGAGGAGGAGGAGGCGGCGGAGGAGGAGGAGGAGGAGGAGGAGGGGGAGGAGGAGGAGGAGGAGGAGAAGGAGGAGGCGGCGGAGGAGGAGGAGGAGGAGGAGGAGTTCCCCTGTCGGCGTTCCCCGAGGCCAGCTCTCCCTGGGGGCCGTGGAGGGCCTCGGGAGCCCGACGGCCTCAAGCCTCGTTTCCTTCGGGTCGCCTCTCCGCGGGGGTGGCGCAAGCCGAGGCCCGAGGCGCGCGCTCGGACGAGGGGGCCTGGGAGAGGGGGGTTGGCCACCAGTGCAGCGTGCGCGGAAGGTGCGTCTCTTCTTCTTCTTCTTCTGGTGATGATGATGATGATGATGATGATGATGATGATGATGATGATGATGAGGAGGAGGAGGAGGAGGAGGAGGAGGAGGAGGAAGAGGAGGAGGAGGAGGAGGGGGGGGAGATCCGCTTCGATATCCGCCGCCCTCCTGGGCGCCCCCGACCGGGGACGGGGAGGAGGAGGATCAGGAGGAGCCAAGTCCAGACGGAGCAAGTCCGCACCGAGACCGAGCACTCCGTTCGGAATTACTGGAGGGGGACGGGGTGGAGAAGGTGGAGGAGGAAACCACGGCCGCCCAATGCCGTGGCATGCGCTCCAGCACTCAGGGGGCCAACCTCGATCGAAACGCCCCATTCCCAAACATCATTTCTACATCCCCGTAACCCTTTACTCTTTACATTCCGTTTCGACCACCTTTTGTTCCTTCCCTCAGGTGACACAGGCATCCACCACACAGGTGACGTCAACACCACCACGACATCATCAACGGCCAACACAACTTGGCGTCACCGAGACCGAGAACGACGTGCAGCAGCACGCATACTACTACGAGTCGCAGCGGCACGCGAACTCCTTGACCAGGACACGCACCATCAACTCGACTCAGCATGCCAACTTCTAACTGCGCACCACATCGCACAAACAACACTACGACTTCCACCTCAAATTTCCGCAATGGCGGCATCATAAGGAGCAACCGCGAGTGTACCGAAAACTACGCTACCGCCGTGGATATCTACATCGAGCCGCACTCCAAGTAGAGGACTGACACCACGACCTACCACACTGGCGATTGGGACAGGCCTCGAGCGCTGGAGGGACAACAAGTGGGTGGAGGAGTGGGCCAACGACCACCCCGACACCTACTGGAACACCTACTGGAACAAGGGCGCAGTGGTAAAGGCAGGAGCGGCAAACCCAATGACGACGATCGAGAACATGACAACCGCAACCAGAAGAGCAAACACAATAACAACAAAAGCAAAGTCAAAATAAAGCCCAAGGCTCAACCTAGACATGACAACTTCGTAAAACACAAAGCAGCACCTAATAATACTACGACCACGTCGCCAACACGATCAACAACGTCATGCCGATGAAAAAAAGTTCAAGCAATCCGAAAGCCGGACTGTGAGCTACCGCTCACCGACCCCGAGCTCGGAAACGACTGGAAGAATATCACGTTCACCGAGCAGAGGCGATGAGCAACAAACATCGCGAAAAACAGTGCTGCAAGACTACCTACCACAGATACAATTGCCCATCTCGCCATCACCGAAACCATGCTCCGCAACAGCTTGCCCCCAGTCCAACAAGCCAGGGAGATAGACAACACCAAGCGGGCCGTGGAAGACTACTACAAGGACGCCATGGTCCACCAGAACCGAATCGAAAAATACATGATCGAGCTGGATAACAAGATCGGCGAGCTCAACACCTTGCAGCGCGACGTCAACATTGCCTGGGACGACATCTACAACGCTACGGGCGCCGCTGATCACGAAACCGGAAAACCACACATGGACACACCACAGAGAAGGGCGACTACAATACCGCGGGGGAGACGGCGGATGGGGCAAAACGTCGACATGCTAATCAAGATCCAGAGAGAGGACAACCAACGAATGGCCCACGACATCCTGAAAAACAAGAGCGACGCCAACGCCAACATCCACGCCGGCAAAAAAACACCTACGAACTGCAGAAGAAAATGCCTCGGAACAATACTCATCACACAACAACATCCACGAGAAGCCGACAGGTTGGCCAACTAGAGGCAAACGTACTTCGACATGACCGAGGAGGCTGGACAACACATCGCCGACTTCGAAACACAAACAGCCGAGGCGCGGACCAAGGAGGACAACGACCACATCGTCCTCTACCAAAAGTGGGGGAACGCAGCGGATAGGAACTTACAAACCCAAGATGAGCTACGTGCCCAAGCAAAACACATGGAAACGACGATATGCAGTGTCCGAGAAGAGTACCGACATAGAATCAAAAACATCGGGCGCCTTGTCTGGATAATATACGCCGGACGCGTACTTTGTCGACATCTCCGCAACAATGTGAACTCTTCGCATACAAACGTGTTGCAATATACAAAACACACAATTCGCATCCCTTCGGTTGCGGACTTCAGAACATGCTCGCTTTGAGGGCACCCATGGTCCTGTCCTTCTCCGGCTCATATGCCCGCCCCAGCGCGCGAGCAGCGCCAATGATGGGCTCTCTCTTCACACTAGAAACGCTCTTGCTTTGAAGGCTGCAAGACGGCGCAGTCATGAACTACGCCCGTTTCCGACTGTGTGCAGCGTCTGCTTTCGCCGCAGGCTGAGCCAGCGACGTAACAGGGACTGTTTTCGGAAAGGGGAGGAAACAACTTGCCCCTCTTTCGTGATATCGGAGAGAGAGTGATCCACCGCCGCTTTACTGTGGAAAACTTCCCCCCTCTTCCTCCGGAGCCCGGGGGTCCCCCCCCCTTCCGAAAGTCCCCCCCCTCTGCCCCCCCCCCCTCCCCTCCCCGGCAAAGCCCCCCCCTCCCCTAACCCCTCCCCCCCCCCCCCCCCCCCCTCCCCTCGAAAGCCGGGAGGGGCACTACCGGTTCGAACCCCCCCCCCCGGTTTTCGACAGGGCCATCTCGAAAACCGGAGGGGGGGTCACTACCGACCCCTCCCCATCACCCCCACTCACCGCCAGCAAACGACCCCCGGTCCCTACCACCGTCCGCACCACATCCCCCATTGTTGTTCCCAGCGTCAGTGTCCTCACCACCACTGTCCCCGCGCCCCACCACTGTCGCACTGTCCCCACTGTCCCCACCGCTGTTCCCACCACGGCCCCACTCTCCCCACTTTCTCCACGGACCCAACCACTGCCCGACTATCCCCATGTCCCCACTGTCCCACTGACTCCTCCGCTGTCCCACTGAGCTGTCCCACTGTTCCCACCACTGTCCCCACTGTCCCCACCACTGTCCCCACTGTGCCTCTGTCCCATTGTCCCACCGCCGTCCTCGCCACCGCCTTCACCACTGTCCACACCACCACTGTACCCTCCACTGTCCCACTGTTTCCACCACATTCCCAGTGTCCCCAACACCACTGTCCCCACCACCACCGTCCCCACCACTGCCCACTGTCCCCACTGTTCCCACCATTGTCCTCACCACTGTCCCCACCACTACCGTCCCCACCACTGTTCCACTGTCCCCACCACTGTCCCGCTGTCCCCTCGCCGCTGTCCCCACCACCACCGTCCCCACCACTGTCCGCACCTTTCTCGATTTTCGAACGGGGGAGGGGGGGTGGTTCGAACCGGTAGTGACCCGGGGGGGGGGGAGGGGTTCGAACCGGTAGTGACCCCCCCTCGGTTTTCTGGAGGGAGGGGGGGGGTTCGAACCGGCAATGACCCCCCCTGGTTTTCCCCCAGCAGCGGTAGAACACGCTCTTTCTGATATCGCGGCCTACCCCAACTGTCAGAGCGGGCACCGCGGCCTAGGGGTGTGAGCCACCTAACCCCTGTAGTTAGGCGCTCGTGGGACACTCCGTAATACGACAAAATGCACCTGCAACGCCCCTTGTTGTGGCGACCGTTGATACTTCTCTGTCAAGACGCACCAGTGACGCGCATTTTTCGAGGCCACCAAATAAGCTGGATAGGAGTGCTGCGGCTGCGCTGCTGCGGCGGCCTGCGGCTGTGGCTGGGACTGCTGCGGTCCGCTGCTGCTGCTGAAGCGTGTCCACGGCGCTGCCGCTGGTCTCAAAAACGGCCACGACAATGACACAATAACTCAATGGTCACTCGAGTGATCCGCGGGAGTCCAGCTCTGGCGCGCTGAACACTCGCGCCATGCCGACGTCGAACTCGGGAGAAACCTTCGGCCGATAACCTGTAGTTTGCCGACATCTCCACGAAAATCTGAACTCTTCGCATACAAACGTGTTGCAATACACAAGACACACAACTCACGTCCTTGTGGTTACGGACTTCAGAGCATGCCCACTTTGGGGGCACCCCTGGTCCTGTCCGTTTCCGGCTCATCTGCCCACCCCACCGTGCGAGCAGCGCCAATGATGAGCACCCTCTTCACACTAGACGCTCCTGCTTTGAGGCTGCAGGACGGCGCTGTCACGGATGACGTCCGTCCGACTGTGTGCGGCGTCTGCTTTCACCGCATGCTGAACCAGCGATGTAGCAGGGACTGCCTTCTGAGAAGGGAGGAAGCAACTGAACAAACCCAGCATCAAGAGCTATACCTCCAACGAGTACTGACCGACATGAAAGCGCACGAGCAGCAAATACGTCACAGCGTGCTGCAAAATGAAGGACAACTACAGCGTGTGCTCCAGCACGCGGAAATGGGCATGGCGGAGCAGTCTGGTGCATACCAAGAGGAGATGAACGAGAAACGCACCGATAAGTAAAGGAGGAACACCACTACGCTCAACATGCAGCTGGACTCGCTCAGGAACGCGTAAACAACGTGGAGATGATCGACGCGATCTGCAAGGCACTATCCACACGGATACCTACCGACGACGAGGAGCTTATTACCTTCCTGACCTGTCGAACCTCTGCCCTCGCCAAAGTATGACGTGGAGGGGACACGGCCCACCTGAGCACCAAGCCACCAAGCCGCCGGGGAGTCAGACGTGTACGGGTAATTGGTATCACGACCAGTTGCAGAAGAGCAACCTCAATACCACCCGTCTACACTCCGCCCAGAACTCCGAGAGCGGCAGGTGCACCACTGGCGAGGCAACCAGGCAACAGCGAACACGACTGCCCTACACCGAATGCATGGTCACCGGGACCAATACCGCCAGGGCAGCCTGCCGACGAGGGCACCTCTATTGAAGTCGACGCGCCGCCACCAAGAGTCAAAAGAGACGACGGTATCACCACCACAGAGGAGATATTGCCGACAACTGACATACCGCAGAAAAACTTCATCGGCACGCCTGGGAACAGATCGTCATTACCACCACCACGCAAGCGCCCGGTACCAGCGACGATGAGCTCAAGTGCAAAGAGAACGCGAGGGGCAACCATCTACCACAGCGAGCCCTATACCATCGTACCCTACGTACCACATGGAAAACACATACCGACATTGCCACTAGTGACGACGCAGCCCAGGCAGAAGGGGCCGCAATGATAACCTACTGACAGTTACACGGCGGCGCGGGCCAAAACAAGGTCCGCCTTGCCCATGGTGAGTCCTGCGGCCGTTCGGGACGATGCAGTCACCCCTGGAACGCCCTCGGTGACACGTAGCTGCTGGAACGCATCCTGAAGCTGGAACGACGCGGAAAACCGACGACAACGTCCGAAAACCTCAACCTCGAACGTTGAAACCCCCTCAGCCTATCCCCCGTCTTTACGAGCGAGCAGGCGCGCAGGCGGTGAGCGGGCGAGCAGCACGAGGCGGCGGCAAGCTCCTTCTCTTCCGCCGCGCTGCCGACGGCGACCGCCTCGAAGCGCGGGCGCCGTGGCCGCCTGCCGCACGGGCCGACGGCCCCTCGTCGACGCCGTCGCATCCACCGCCGCCGCCGTCGCCGTCGGAGTCGCCGTCGGAGTCGCCGTCGTCGTCGCCGTCGTCGTCGGCGTCGGAATCCGCGTCGGCATCATCTACTACAAAGTCGCAGTCGTCGCCGTCGTAGCCGTCGTCGCCGTCGCCGCCGTCGCCGTCGCCGCCGCCACCGCCGTCGCCGTCGCCAGCGCCGCCGTCGCCGTCGCCGGTCGCTGCCGCCGCCGTCTCCGTCACCACCGTCGCCGCCGTCGCCGTCACCGTCGGCGTCAACGTCGTCGTCGTCGTCGCCGTCGTCGTCGTCCGCGGCACCCGCCGCCGCCGACTCCGCCGCCGCCGCCGTCGCCGCCGCAGGAGTCACCACGGAGTCGTCGTCGTCGTCGTCGTCGTCGTCGTCGTCGTCGTCGTCGTCGTCGTCGTCGTCGCCGTCGCCGTCGCCGTCGCCGTCGCCGTCGCCGTCGCCGTCGCCGTCGCCGTCGCCGTCGCTGTCGCCGTCGCCGTCGCCGTCGTCGTCGGCATCGGCGTCGGAATCCGTATCGGTTTCGGCCTCGGCATCGTCAACAACATAGTCGCCGTTGTCGCCGTCGTCGCCGTCGCCGCCGCCGCCGTCGCCGTCGCCGCCGCCATCGACGTCGTCGTCGCCGCCGACGCTGCCGCCGCCGTCTCCGTCGACACCGTCGCCGTCACCGTCGGCGTCGTCGTCGTCGTCGTCGTCGTCGTCGTCGTCGTCGTCGTCAACGGCACCCGCCGCCGCCGTCGCCGCCGACTCCGCCCCCACTGTCGTCGCCGTCGCCACCACCGCCACCGTCGCAGCCGCCACCGCCGCCGCCGTCGCTGCCGCCGATGCTGCCGTTGCCGTCGCCGCCGCCGTGGTCGGCATCGTCGGCGTCGGCGTCGGAGTCCGCGTCGGCTTCGGCGTCGGCATCGTCAACAACATGTCGCCGTCGTCGCCGTCGCCTGCGCCGCCGTGGCCGTCGCCACCGCCACCGCCGCCGTCGCCGTCGCCGCCGCCGCTGTCGCCGCCGTCGCCGGCGCCGTCGTTGCCGCCGCCGTTTCCGTTGTCGCCGCCGTCGTCGGCGTCGGCGTCGGCGTCGGCGTCGTCGTCGTCGGCGACGTCGTCGTTGTCGTCGTCGTCGTCGTCGTCGTCGTCGTCGTCGTCGTCGTCGTCGTCGTCCGTTGCACTCGCCGCCGACGTTGCCGCCGACTCCGCCCGCAGCGTCGCCGTTGTCTGCGTCGCCGCCGCCGCGGCCGCCGCCGCCGCCGCGGCCGCCGCCGACGCCGCCGTCGCTGCCGCCGATGCTGCCGTCGCCGTCGCCGCCGCCGTGGTCGGCATCGTCGGCGTCGGCGTCGGAGCCCGCCGCGGCTTCGTCGTCGGCATCGTCAACAAAATAGTCGCCGTCTTCGCCGACGTCGCCGTCGCCGTCGCCGCCGCCGCCGTCGCCGCCGCCACCCCCGTCGCCGTCGCCGCGTCGCCGCCGCCGCCCTCCGTCTTCGCCTCCGCCGCCGCCGTCGCCGCCGCCGCCGCCAACGTCGTCGCCGTCGTCGCCGTCGCCGTCGCCGCCGCCGCCGCCACCGCTGTCGCCGCCGGCGCCGCCGTCGCCGCCGCCACCGCAGCCGCCGTCGTCGTCGTCGTCGTCGTCCGTCGCCGCCTCGGCCGCCATCGTCGCCCCCGCCGGCGCCTCCTCCGTCGTCGTCGTCATCGTCGTCGTCGTCGTCGTCGTCATTGTCTTTGTCTTTGTCTTTGCCGTCGCCGTTGCCGTTGCCGCCGTCGCCGCCGTCGCCGCCGCCGCCGCCGCCTCCGCCTCCGCCGCCGCCGCCGCCGTCGCCGCCGCCGCCGCCGCCGCCGCCGCCGTTGTCGTCGCCGCCGCCGCCGCAGTCGCCACCTCCGTCACCGCCGACGTCGTCGTCGTCGTCGCCGTCGCCGTCGCCGCCGCCGACACCGTCGTCGTCGTCGTCGTCGTCGCCGACACCGTCGTCGTCGTCGTCGTCGTCGTCTTCGTCGTCGTTTTCGTCGTCGTCGTCGTCGCCATCGTCGTCGTCGTCGTCGTCGTCGTCGTCGTCGGCGTCGGCGTCGGCATCGTGGTCGTCGTCGTCGTCTGTCGCCGCGGCCGCCGCCACCGCCATCGTCGTCGCCGCCGCTGCCGTCGTTGTCGCTCGTCTTCGCCGTCGCAGTCGCCGCCTTCGCCGTCGTCCGAGGCCGCCCCCGCCTCCGCCGTCGCCGCCGTCGTCGCCGCCGCCGCCACCGCAGCCGCCGTCGCCGTCGCCACCACTGCTTCCGCCGCCGCCACCGCCGTCGCCGTCGCCGTCGCCGCCGCCGCCGCCGCCGCCGCCGACGCCGTCGCTGCCACCGCCGCCGTCGCCGCCGCCGCCACCGCCCACGCCGCCGTCGTCGCCCTCGTAGTCGCCGACGCCGTCGTCGTCGCCGTCGTCGTCGTCGTCGTCGTCGTCGTTGTTGTCGCCGCCGCCGTCGCCGTGGCTGTCGCAGGCCCCCGCGGAGCGCTCCAGCGGGTCTCAAGGCTCCTGCTTGGGCAGGGCAAGAATGGGTATGGGCGAGTTGGGCGAGTGCAGTTGAGCGGATGCAGCGCCTTCTTTGCTCTAGAACTTGCAACAAGCAACTTACAAACTATAGCCTACGCAGGGAGCAATGGCTGAGGTACGTGGTGGATCGCTGTTGCTGCGCTCGCAAAACGTTTTAGTTGCGAATCCTATGCAGCTGGGCTAATTGTTAGGTAGAGCTCGCGCCACGCAGCCAGCACGGCGGGTCCCGATGCGGAATAAGTGCCTTGACCCTTCTCGCTCAAAACAGAGGAAACGCCTTAAATCACCTACTTCCTGAAGGGCTGGTGGGATTGATTCCGTAAACCCTTCGGCTCGACAAAGGCCCCCTGGGCTGTTTCGAGTCAGGCCACTTTTCGCGATCGATCGCGTGCCACTGGGACGGCGTTCGTCTGGCCCGTAATGACAACAATGTCTACACTTAGCTCATCTTTTTCCGAACGCTGCGAAACGGAAAATGGGCCAGGCTTTTCTGGTCCTCAGGGGCCCCGTGAACGGAGACTTCCCATGAGCCAAGACAGTAACGCGCCCGAGAGTGCTGCAGCCATGCATCGAGCCGCTCTCCAGTTTTCCTTCCCTCCGGCCAGATCTTGCAGAATCATGGTCTGCATGTCCAAGTTTCTGGGGCCCTGCTCTGCCTGGGCCCCAGGACCGCCCAAAACTTCTGCGTAAAGGGCGGGTTCCTGGGGAGTGGGTCGAAAGGTCCGGGGATGGCGACTCGGACAAGAGCCGAGTCGTCGTAGGTCTGGGCCTGAATCAGGATGGGAAGAACACGCAGACACAATTAATCGTCGACTCCCAAGGAAATATGGGAAAATATGGACAGTGGGGGAGGAAGACGAAACTCAAGAAAATATGGAAACATATGGAGAATCCTGGGATTTGTGTCTATTTACTCGTGTGTGCCTGGGCCCCTCTACTGAAGCTCTTCACAACTCTATCTGTGTCTGTCTCCTTGTTGCGGACCGCCTCGAGGCCGGCCAAACATCCACATACACTGACCCTGGCCCAGCCCAGCCTGGGGCCAGGGAGCCCGAGAAGGCGAACACGGCGCCCAGGGCCCGAAGCGGCGACACTTGCCCACGTAGTCTGAAAGCGCGGAAGGACCTCCAGACCCGAGATCCTCCAAGACTCCCCCATCCTTCACTAAAGGGGCCCAAGGACCCACACACATAAATAGACACAACTCCCAGGATTCCACACATGTTCCCATATTTTCTGGGTGCTCGTCTTCCCCCCCCACACTGTCCATGTTTTCCCACACCTTCCGGTAAATCGACAATCATGTCTGTCTGTGTGTTCTTCCCCTCCCGGTGCACACTGATCCGGCGCCGGGCTCAGGGAGGGGAGGCTGCTCGCCTCAAACAAGCTCCCTTCAGGGCGACAAGGGGGCGGGCGATCTCATGGGGGCGCGTCGGGCCGCCCTGGGGAGTCGAAGCCCAGAAGAGGCGAGCACACGCAAAGCTTCAAAGAGTCTCAAGGAAACCGGTGATCTTTGGCACCTCGGGGCCGTCTTGGAGGCCCTCTTCGAGCCCTTGGGGGCCTCCTCGGCCGTCTTGGGGCCGTCTTGGGCGTCTTGGGGGCCCAAAGCTGAGCAGGCACCGACCGTCCCGGCAGTCCCATAGGCCTACCACGATATGTCCTGGAACCCACAGGTTTTCTGAGAACAAAAACACGGTTCTTATAACATAAGCCCGATATGTGTTAAAAACAAGACAGCCTCAGCCAGATATCTTCTGAGAACATTTAAGTTCTTAGAACATTCCTTGGTGGGCCCATAGCCAGGACGCTTCCCTACTGCTTGACAAAGAATCCCTCCGCCGCCTGCTGGCCTCCAGCCCCCCCCCCGCCCCGGCGCGCCTCCGCTGCTGCAGGTGCGGCCGCGCGCGGGCGCCTCCTGGGCGACGCGGGTGGGCCTGGGGGCGGCGGCACCGCCCTCGCCGCCGTCGTCGACGCCGTCTCCCCGACCCCCTCCAGTGGCGCTCGCCTCCGCTCTGGCCATCGTCGTAGTCGCCATTTTCGTCGTCCCCGCCGTCGCCACCGCCGCCGTGGCCGTCGCCGCCGCCGCCGCCGCCGCTGCCGCCGCCGCCGCCGCCGCCGTCGTCGTCGTCGTCGTCGTCGTCGCCGTCGTCGTCGTCGTCGTCGTCGTCGTCGTCGTCGTCGTCGTCGTCGT